TTGTTATTAAATGATATTTTTTTTTAATTTTAAAAATTTTACATAATTAAATGATAAATTTTTATAAAAATTTACTATATAATTAAGCAACATTCTCCAAATATTTAAGTTAAAAATATTTATTTAACCGCCAAACAAACAAATAAATGATCTTAAATAAATAAATTAAATAAATTTAAAAAATAAATAAATAAAAATTAGTTAAATATTTTTTTTTAATAAAAGGGTGGCGGCAAGGTTGGACCTCCACCCATTCGGTTTGGCAAGTGGTTTGCTCGCCAAATCGAAGGGGGGGGGGGATGGGGCCAGATTTGTGTGCCATCCCTATTCATGGGGCGAAAGATCTTCTCGCCTCCTAATGAAGGGAGGCGAGAATTTTGCAAATGTGTGTCTCGCCCCTTCTCTTTAAAAAAAATAATAATAAGGGCAAAATAGTCTTTTTAGGACGCTTTGAAGAAAATTAGGGCGCTCAGTAGCAGCAATTGGATAAGCTAGTCAAAAGTAATGAAAATAGGATTTCTTGATCTAATTACTTTTTTTTTTTTGAAAATGGTACCTGATATTAATCGGAAGTACCTTTTTTTTTTTAAAAAAAAAATCCACCTCAGTGGCCCTACTTAAATATGAGTAAAACCTCCCTTATAACCCCTGGTGGGAATTGAACCCTGGACTATCACTAAGAAAGACAGTATTCTAACCAATAGGCTGTCATTCAATTCCATTAATCGGAAGTACCTATGCTATTACATTGACATGCATTATAAGCCATACTATGCAGATCACTAACATTAGATCTGCTAACTTTAATTTGTTGACATGACTCAAAAGATGAAATCAAAACTAATAATAAAGCAATAACTTATTGTGCTTCCGTCGGCACAAGTATAGTCCGTAGATCAGTGGATAATAACTCGCAATCAGTGTGAACTTTCACATGAGTCAGTCCAAGTTGTGAAGCTTCACGGAGCTCCATGAGAAAAGTCATGGCTTCTACTTGGAATGGTGATAACACCTGGAGCGGGGTTGCCTTGATTTGCATTATAGCTCCCTGAGGTGAGGTAATCTTGCACGCTCCTGTTGCTGCCATTGTACGCGGGTGGAAAGAGCCATCAAAGTGAATTGTGGCATCTAAATCTGGACCTTGTTCTGCCGGAGTCACGATCTCTACATTAGAGTTCTGAGAGGTTGTTTGGCTTTTGAACATTTGATTATGTTCCTGCAAATCACTTTGAATCAGTTGCCAAGAGATGACCGGACTGTGCACCTGGTTACGCCAAATCTTGTCATTCCTTTTAGACCAAATCCTCCAAAGCATGATTAGAAATAAATCCATCTCCTTCGTTGAAGGCCTTGACTGAATCCAGTCTATATACCACTCCAGTAGGGAGGAGCTAGTACAGTTATGAATGGATTGGAATGAAGGGTAAGCAAAACTCCAAATAGCTTCAGATGCTGGACATGTTATAAAGAGGTGCAAAGTATCCTTATCCTGATTTCCACAATGGGGGCAAGTGATATCAAGCTCAATACCTCTTCTTTGTAAACCCATCTTATTAGGAAGAGCATTCAACACTGCTCTCCATAACAGCAGTTTCATCTTTGGTTGAACTTTAGTATTCCACAAACATTTCCAGGCTCTGACTTCTCCATTAGTTGGAGATTGGGTCTAAACACCGTTAGGGACTAGCAGGTTGATAGTTGTATGATAACCTGAGTGCACTGTATATTTTTCATGATCATTTTTCGTCGTTTGCAACCTATCATTTTCCAAAAGCCTGTTTAGATCAATAAAAATCCCTGTGATGTGAGAAATGATATGGCTTGGGAATATCGTGCGCAGAAACTGTAGCTTCCATTGGCCATGATTGCGGATCAGATCTTTAACTCTACGATTAGAGTGTGTGGCAAGAAAAGAATTCCTCCGTATCAGGTCGGAATAATTGGGAATCCACTCATCAGCAATATTGATGTCTTTCCCCGAGATCACTTTCCACTTGACACTCTGAGATAATAATTAAGCTCACATAATATACTCTTGTAACCCCAAGTAGAGTGATTTGGAGGTTGTGGTTGTGGAAAAACACCATTACCACAATGGGCTCTATAAAGTCTCGAAATGAGAGAACCATGATCTGACATGATTTTCCATGCATATTTGGCGAGTAACGCTTGGTTAAATTCCTTTGAGGACTTTAAACCTAATCCTTCATGGAATTGAGATTTGGCTATTTTCCCCCAAGATCTCCATACCTTTGTTCAAATTATCACCTTTCCAAATAAACTGTGCAACAATGCGATCAGTCTCCTATAAAGTGGAAGCAGGGAGTTTGAAAACTCCTATTGGGTAGATTAACATGGCTGACAAGGTTGATTTTGCAAGTGTTATCCTACCCGCAAGAGAGAGAATTTTGGTCTTCCAGTCTGCAAATTTATTCCTCAACTTGGCAATAAAAGTTTGAAAATCAACTTTTTTTTTTCTTTAAAATCCAGTGACATACCTAGGTACTTGCTCTGAAATTGTCCCTAAGGGATTTGCAAGGTGGCATGGATAAAGGACTTCATATGGGAAGATGTATTTGGGCTGAGCAAAATGTAGGATTTGAAGAAGTTGATCTTTTGTCCAGAGAAAGTTGCATACTGCTCAATCAGACCTGCTAGAGCAAGAATTGAACTCTCTCTGCACTCAATGAAGAAGAGGCTGTCATCCGCATACATCAAGTGACTGATTCTAGGAGCATTTCCGCTAATCTTAATTCCCAATCCTGAAAATTGATTTATTTCAGCCCTAATAGCTGATGACAACACCTGTTGACAGAGAATAAAAAGGTAAGGTGAGAGGGGATATCCCTGATGAAGTCTTCTTGCTGGCGAGAAGAAAGGCAAACCATCGCCATTGAACTGGATTGAGTAGGACACAGTGGTGACACAAAACATTATAAGAGTAATAAGGCTTTGTGGAATGCCAACTTTCTGGAGTACTGCTTGAAGAAAAGACCAAGACACTCTGTCATACGCCTTACTCGTGTCCTACTCGACTGCTGCTCAGTTGAGGTCACCCTCTTTGGACCTGATTGATTCGATCACCTCATGTGTGATGAGTATGTTTTCACTGATATTTCTTCCTGGCACAAAATCATTCTGATGTTCATCAATGAGATCACTCATGAAAGTCTTGAGTCTATTTGTGATCATTTTTGTGAGGAACTTGTACTTGACATTGCAGAGACTTATAGGCCTGAAATCACTAGGAAGAACAGGATTAGAGGTTTTTCGGAATGAGCACAATGTTCGTCTGATTCCACTCATTTGGAAAGTGTTGTTTGTTGATTTCATCCAAGATGATTGCTTCAACATCAGTGCCGACAATCTGCTTATATTTTTGGTAAAAACCTGTTGGCATTCCATCTGGACCTGGTGACTTCCAAGGAGCCATCTGCTTGACTGCATTCCAAACTTCTGTGGTCGTGAAAAGTTGATCCAAGAAGTTAACTTGATCAGGGGTTAGACATTCCATCACATTATCAAGGAGACTTGTAAAGAAAGGCAAAGATGGCGCATTTTGAGCAGTTGGTTCCACTTGACTGTAGATGCCAGAGAAGTATTGTAGGATCAAGTCGCCCGTCTGTTTTGGACATTATATCCATTCCCCATCCTTATTTTGCAACTCCGTTATCCATTTGTTTCCTTTCTTTCTATTGACCCACTTATGGAAAAATTTTGTATTCCTATCTCCTTGAAGAGGCCAAATCAGTATAGCCCTCTGTTGCCAATAGTCTTGCTGGTGTTGCAGAGCTTGCTCTTGTTCTTCCTGCTGGTTTTGTAGTTGAGTAAACAAATTTTCATCACCTTGATTCAACTCCCACTGTTGTTGGAGGTTTGCCAGTTGCGCAAACAATTTAATGACTAACTTGTCTATATTACCAAACCTGTCTTTGCTCCACCAGTGCAAGGAGGATAAGCTCTTATGCAGTCTGTAAGACAAATTTTCTTGATGATCTTCAATAACCAAACCTTGTTGGTTCCATTCATTTTGGATAAGCTGAGTGGCTTGAGGACATTTGAACCAAAATTACTCAAATATCTTCCTTTTTTTTGGTTTTTGAATGCTGCTCTTTTAGGTGAATGAGCATAGGGCCATGATCTGATGACATAATTGGAAGATCCCTGATGAATGCCTTTGAGAAAAAGGCCAACCATTGACTATTTACGAAAGCTCTATCAAGTCTTTCAAAGACAGCTTCTTGGTTTTGCCTTTTATTTGTCTAGGTGTACCAACAACTAATATGCCTTAATTCTTCTAAATCATTTTGCGAAATAAACTGTCAGACTCTTCTGGTATCCTGATCATGGACTTGTCTTCCTCCACACTTGTCTTCTTGGTTGATAACCTGATTAAAATCACCTACAATAATACTAGGATAGTGCAAACTACCCATGGTGTCAGTGAGTTTGACCAGAATTCAGCTCGCCCTTGTTGAGAAGGCACGCCATACAAGAAAATAGCTATCCACTTGACACCATAAGACTCACATACTTTTGTAACTATTAAATGAGAGTCATAATATAGTACACTAAGCTTGACACCCTCTAGCCAAAATAATGCTAAACCACCACTGAACTCTATTGGATCTACTACCATCGAATTTTTAAAAGGAGAAGATTGCTGCCAGGCATCTATACAAGGTTTATCTGCCTTTGTCTCCATTAAGAACAAAATACTAGGCTTATATTGTTTACATAATCTACTTACTACATGTTTAGAGAAGGCATTATTCATACCTCTATAATTCCATGATATGACATTCATTGCAACAGAGGCGGTTGATTTGGTATAACCACCACAAAATCTTTTTCAGATTTTTATGCAAAGCCATTATCAAACACATTATCAGACATGTTCAAATTATCCTTTAAAGGTATTACCTGAAGAGTCAGCATTGAGCTACCTTCTTTGACAGTCATTCTGTGTTTTGTTGAAGTCTCAACCACCTCAAAAAGATCTAATTCCCTTTTTTGTCCAGTCTGCCATGGTGAGCTAAAATGAGGACCAGAATTGCGTCGCTGCACACGAGGAAGGCGACGGTGCCATCGACTCTAGGTAAGCATTCCACCAAGCACATTTTTTGCTTTATGATAGTGTTTTGTCGCGCCTCTCCTATTATCACCAAATCAGTAGTTCCACGCTCCCGTTTCAAGTCTTCAAAATGTGCAATGAAAGGCACCTTTTGTTGTTGCCTCCTCAATTCTGCATTTTCCATAGGATTTTGGGTAGCTTCTCCTCCAGCGTTGTCTAACATGGTGCTTTGCACTATCTTTTCTAGGCAGTCATGATCCATGTCTGTTGAAACTGATGGGAATGACCCAGAAACATTATCTATATCAGGGCCGCCTCTATGTGAGGGAAATGAAACTTTTCTCCATTGTTTGTGCTCTGATGTGGTAGTTGCTGAATTACAACGCGAATTGGAGTTAACATGTCTCTTTTTCCGGCCGTTATATTTCTTTGAGCGATCTGGATTTTGGTTCCCCTTATCGAAAAATCCAAGCTCAATATTATAACAATCGTGGAAACCCCATTCGTCATGGTGGTCATGACAATTTGATGGAGGTTCTCCAGTTAACATTTGAGCAGCTCGCCAGTAGCTATGGCTTTCAAAATAGCTAAACCCAAAGATATAATTTGCATAGACGATTTCTGTTGGAGGAGACGCTTACCCAAAGAGATATATTTGATAACCTTGCCATAAGAAGAGATCATCAATTCCGCCATAATGAGGCAGCAATGTTAGGGTTATTGATAGCAGAAAGCACAGAAGCTAAAAATATATAGTTTCAAAAGTGGCTAAAAAAACATCAGCGTATTATGCAGCCAACAGGATACCACATCCACCATAAACTTCATTTCGGTTCAGCCACGAACAAGTACAAAGCAGCAAAATTTCCAAAGTCGGGATGCTAAGTTTCATATTGTAATTAAAATTGAGGGTTTTTGCAAAAAATCGGCACTTGAGAATTCTGGGGGTGATTAATGTTTTTCCGAATGTCTATTGTCCGATAGATCAACAACATCTAAGACCCATAACTACTAAGAAGCTTAAATGTCTCCAGAGAAAAGCATAGATATGAAGAATCAAGCTCACCGAATCCAGTCAAAATCAACAGCAACAATCTCCGAGCGCGGCACTCGTCAACTCACAAGAGGATGTGGGAGAAGGACACTGGCAGCCCTCTCCTGGCATCAACGATGTGCGTCCGCAACAATAGTTGTTGAGCGTTGTCTTCAATGATGGCAAATTAATATCTGATCAATTCAGAACTAAAGGATTATCAGGTTGCTTAGGTGCTGTTGGTGTGACTATCAATTAATATATAGAGCACCGAGATATCCCTAACTAGGGAGCTCAATGTTTAGAGCACATGCACCCACAACTACCAACTTGCACACATCTTCTTGCAAATTACAGAAATGTCACCGCTTCAGTTAGGAAAATATAAATAGTCACAATTTTTTAAAAATAAAAAAATTCACAAAAATAAAAAAAAAAACCCCGTCAATTTCTCCCAAACCCTCTGGTGATTTCTTACTCCAGATCTTCGCCGTAATTTCCTCCGGCGAGTTTCCTCCCAAATCCTCGAGTTTCTATCCGCTAAATCTGCTAGAAACGTCTCTATGGTCATTTAAAAGCACTCTTCACACCTTCGTCCGGTGAATTTGTCCGGAAATTTGAAAAACTCTGTTCAACGAATCTTCTGACGGTGAAAAACACAAAATTAAGCACGCGATTATCAGAGTAAGGATCCTCTTTTTCAAAATGAACATTACTTTTTTCAGATCTGGATTTTTTTTTTCAATAACTAGGGTTTTGAATTATGAATTTTTTCATTCAAGCTTTTTTGATGAGTTTTTTTTTTATGTTCATCCATCGATTCTTGCAGCAAAATGGTGACAACAAGAGCAGCAAAAATAGCTACACCAGAGACTACAACAGAGCCTAACCCAGCGTCATCATCAGGCTCAAGCATAGATAACGGGTATTGTTCATCCTAAGTAAATTCTTCTGATATTCAGATGTTCATTTCATAGATCTGGTAGCGTGAGATAATTCTTGAGACTTAGTTGTGATTGTTCTTTTGTTCATTTAAACGTTGTTGTATTGTTTGTGTGGTTGTTCATCCTGTATGCTTTGATGCTCATCCTGTATGATTGATGCTCATCTTGACAGAGAATGTTAGGTTGCTCATCCTATACGCTTTGATGCTCATCCTGTATGTTGATGTTGATTTTGTTTGTTGTTCATTTTTGGATATGTGTTCACTGCCAATCGCTAAATGTTCATCCTATATCCTGTCTTGCTCATTTGCTATTTGCTAAATATTTTTATGCAACAGAGATCAATATAAGAGTGTGAGGAGAGGCAATAAAAACAAGAATCTCCCTTCTACACAATCCATTGAATGGCACAATACTTCACCGTCTCAATAAGAGAATGCTGAAACATAAAAGAAGGCCAAATCATCTACATCTGCCGCCAAAGAGAGAAAAAAGAAGAGGAAATATGGCGGCGATGATCTTGCAGGACAACAAGAAGCAAAGAAGCGAACAACAGATTCATCATCTAAACAAGTCATTGAAGAGAAAAAAAACCAGAAATACCACAGAGGAAAAGTCTAAATCGTCTACAACAGTCACCACAGAATAAAGGACGAAGTTTAAACATGATACTGGCAATCTGGTGGCAGAAAAAAAAGAAGAGAAAAAGGCAACTTCAGAAAAGAAAGCGCCCTTTGCCCGAAGAAACACGAAGAGAAAAGAATAATGATGATGGTTCTGTGCCAAAAACAGAAGCAAACAAGGAGAAAGCTGCAAAAAAGAAACAACCCAAAAAAGAGAATTTAAATTTTCTATCCAGAGTGTCGCCGGCCGGAGTTTATAAAATTTTTGCTGCGCTTGATGTTGACCAAAGAAAGCTGGCTCGGAAAACAGGTTTCGGGCACATTTTGAGCCTTGGAATCAGTAAATTCACACCCGGATTTGTCCCTTTACCTGTTAAGCAATTTCAGGTTCGGCAACAAGACGTTGCTGATTCAAGGCAGAAGAAGAGAATTGATGATCACGGAAGAAGATGTGGAAGCTGTCCGAAGAAAGTAGTTAAAGCCTATGATTCTAGGGACAAGTCCGAAGATCAAGAGGAGTACATGAATCTTGTCCGGCAGATGAGGGAGACATTCGGAATGAAAGACCTAAATGCGGGATCGCCCACAACAACTAAAATTAGAGCCTACCATGTAACGGGTGATCCTGATTGCCTGGATCCGAAAAGACTTCCTGAAGATCAAAGAAACCGAGTATATGGAGAAGAATTCAAAAGGTATGCTTCAATTTTTTCAAAAGGTTCCTGTATTGTTTTTGTGTTGGTTCATCCTGTATGCTTCGATGCTCATCCTGTATGCTTCATTGCTCATCATGTATGTTACTTTTCTCTAGGTACTTTGTGCTGTTTATCATGGCTAGCATGCTCCTGAGAACAAAGAATGCGTGTTGCCGCTACTAAGTAATGAGATCATTGATGAACGCGATGACATCAAAATTACAATTGGTGCAAGTATGTAGTGAAGGGACTCTACGACGCGGTCGAAGAGTGGCAGAAACATCCTCTGGGTGCTTTTAATGGGCCACTGATCTTTCTCATAGTATATTTCGCTTACTTTTCTTTATTTTTTTCCCTTCTTTATTAATTTTGTATGTGAAATAACTGAATATTATGTTGGTACTATAAGACATTGCAGTTGTGCTTTTTGGATAGAGTTGAGTACAAAGGTGGGGATGGAATTCCCCTGCAGTTTCCTGTGATTGCTCAATGGGACAACAACTGAGTAACAAAAAGGCTAAGCATGGAACATAAGGGTGCAGACTTTGGACATGGCGAACCTCTGGATAGGATTGCAGTAAGGAAAAGAATGGATGAGGATGAGCCCACTCAGACCGAGAATGACAAACCTGAATCAACAACAGGAGAGGAGATGAGGAAAGTTGGTGATCAGCCGGCACAACCTGAAAATCAAGGAGATCCATCAACTAAAGATAAGATACATACAATCTCATGAATGTTCAGTTTCTCTTGTTCATTTCTGGACCTTTATTGTTCATCACGGGTCACACAATGTTCATTTTACTCTACAGGTATTGGATCTTGGAACTAGGTTCCAAGATCTGATGCTTAACAGGATGGGGCTCCTTATTCTTGACCTGGACCAGTTGTTTCAAGAAGCCAGTCAAAATGGCATAGATGGACACAACACGTTCTACAAATTCTTCAACGTCTATGCTAATATCTTGAAGAGAATAACATCCCATGTAGAGAAAAAAGAAGAAGTCCAAGAAGAGCCAGAAGTAAACTTAGTTCCTGCTGACCCTAAACAGACGAAAAAAGGAGATGGCTCTCAAATGCCAGAGTATAACAAGGCATCGAACCCTAATATATGGGCTTTTGACACTGCAACATAGATGGATATATGGTGGAATTCTCCGGCAATGTTGGAGTGCATTAGGGCAATGGACCAGGTTATAAAGGAGGCCAAGCGTAAAGTCACAGAACTGAGTGATGGGCCAACTTGGTCATTACACATTTCTGAAAGTGTTCCAAAACACCAAGCTAATAATCTCGATGCCAATAATCCTGATGGAAAAGAGTTTAGTGCTGAGAATTTTCAAGATTTTGATGGTTTCAATAGTGAAGAAGATGGTACTGTTAAAATTGCCATAGAATTCCCGAGTGACAAACATCCATCGACTCCACCAATCACTAAGCCCCCAAGTCCACAAACTGATAAAAAGCAAGATTCCATACGAAAGTACATTCATAGGTATGCATTTAAAAAATATTTGAATTCCTTTTTTTTTGTTCACTGCCATAGAATTCATTAAAATTTTTGTGTTCATTGAACAATGTACAATATGCATCCTGTAAGATTAGAATGTTCATCTCATAAACTGTGCTGCTCATCCTGTTAAAGTATGATATTTAACTGACTTTCTGTAACTACAGCAAATCTGACCATTGGAAATTTCTTTTCTGTTCAAGTGTTTTCACCGGTGTATAGATCCAGAGCGAAAACTAGGAGGAGGAACCTGTTGAGTACAAGTCGCCGTTCTGGAAAAAAGAAGGGAACAAATTAACACAGATTACACTGATCCAAAAAATTCTTACCGGCTTCGCTTTCTCAGAACCAGATGGTGAAAAGCTTGACTTCAACAGGTAAGTAGTATAGGACAATGTGCATCTTATTAAACTACAATGTACATCCTGATAAAGTATAATGTTCATCCTATTAAACTAAACTCTGGTGCAGGGAAACCCTGTATATGAGCTACGAAGCCAAATCGATGGGAAAAAAACATGTGATGTACCTTTTTCTGGACAGCCATAGTCTGAAATGGTTCCCTATTGATGAGCAGCTATACAACAATGTTATTGATGTTTGGTCACTGCATCTAAATGAGTTACACAAGTCAAAGAACTCCCGGCCAAGGAACTATTTTTTCACCTCCTCGGTGTTTGTAAGACTCTTTTGCTCATCACTTATTTGTAGTTTAATATGCATATCATATGCTTAAAAGGGATGATCTTTTGAGGCTGATGATGGAAAGAACATAGCAGTTTCTGAGGGATTCAAGCGACATAAGGATGAGAAGGATAAGACTGAATGAATTATTCTTAAACAGGGTTAGTACAGTTTGTGTTTTTTCTATATTACTATACTTCACGTGTTTATATTCAAGTACAAGCAAAAGAGTTTTGAACTACTTATATTCAAGTTGCTGGTCTTTGTATAATCAGGGTGATCCGGCAAGACGTGCTTATCTACGTCAATTGCATAGGGATGAAAGGAGGTTCCTGGTACGCGACCTTAATTTCCTGGCAGTTGATATTGCTAACCAAAAATTAGAAATCAATCACGTTTAAGTTGAAAAAAAGATAGAATATAAAGAAGCAAAAGGGCATACCATGTTCCTTTTAAGCATTCTTTGATATCTGGTGGAAGAAGACATGTTTTTTTATGCTGAATAACAAAAAGGTAGAAAAGATAGGAATTTCAAGTGTGGTAGAAATGGTAGGATGATCTCGTCTTTTATAGATAAATTCTGTGAATGAAACTGTTGATTTTCTCCCTGCTCCTGACTATTCCACTTCTGTGGATAATGAATGTACATTAGGAAATTCTGATGGTTGTTTATTTAAAAGGCACATAAATACTTGGAATTCAGATTGGTCTATGTTCATTGTAAATGCGTCTTTTCATTTAATAACTTTCAGGAGAAGTTTAAGGGGCAGTTATTAATCGCCAGAAGCTGTTACAATTAAAAAAAAACTGTCAGGAACCATCATTGTTCATTTCCAGCCTAACATTGTTCATCCTGACAAATTGAAATAAAAAACAAAATTTTCATTTCCAGACGCATATTGTTCATTTCCAAGCCACCATTGTTCATCATGCAAAACTGCATGTTTGTTCACAGGAACTCCAGAAATGTACCCGCCTCGCTTTGGGTGCAGCTTGAAACTAAAACTTGCAAGGGTTGATCAGGACAGACCGGATGTACATAACGGTCAACAACTTTGGGTTCTCTAGATGCCATCCTGCTGTAAATAGCTTTCTTTGTCCTCATGGTCGCTGTTCTTTTCCTCTTTCCTCGGGCTTGATTGCTTTTCTTCTCCACAGTACTTACCCATCTTAGATTACGCTCACCAGTTGATCTCAGTTGCTCAGGATCTTTAACAACCACATTTGATGCTAAAGGCTCTTCTTTTTCCTCTGCCTCTCTAGACTGTATAGCCCTAACTTCAGCCTCGACCACACTTGCCATCACACTCAAACCTTCCTCGATAAGCTGTTTAGCTGCTGGAGAAGACTCACTTGCTGAAACCAGCCTAATAAACTTGCTGATAACATCTGACCTCCAAATTGTAGAACCTACAATCCCCAGACTCTCCACTACTAACTGAAGCAACAGTACTACATTGCTTGTTAGCGTTCCTTTTCCACCGATCCAAAATATAACATTCTAGAACAACATTTACATTGTTTACATTGTAAACACGTAAACAATGAGCGCATAAAAATCCAGTATCAGGAAACATGTTGCAAGTACAACAAATCTCATGTGTCCGGACATTAGAATAAACTTGATGTTGGAAAACATCTATAGTGTAACGCTTAACATAATATAATGCTACCTCATCGTTAACTTGTTGAATCATCGAATGTTCACAAGAAAGAAAAATTCATATTGCTATTGAAATAACAAGTAGGCTTCAATCGTGTAAAACTCATGTGCATGCCTAAGTAAATTCACATCTTTTAACTTCATCTCCACACATCGGTTATTACACCTGAAATTTTCATGAGTCTCTTTCTTCCTCTAGCCCTTCACCACCTCCTCAAACTTATCATAAAAGGTACACAAGCGCGTACATTTTGGGAGTTCCTGACAAATCACCTTGTTAGTTGACTCATTCCTCTGTGAAGAAAGTGCACCACCAGAAAATCGATCTTTGTTCAGGGCTGGACACTATTTATGCCTCATGGAATGTAACTTCCGCAACCATTTATTATCAGCACATTCATAATCATCACACAATCTGAAAAAAAAAAAAAAAAACAGAATGGTCATTATGCTAAGAAACTATAATGTTCATGCTAGAAACTCTACTTATGTACTTCTGTCAAAAAAGTCACAATATATCTGATGCATAAAACTGCAATGTTCATCCTACGAAACTACAATGTTCATTTCAGAAAAAACAATGTTCTGTCCAAATAGTCACAGAAAAGGATACTTACTTCTTCTAGTAGTAATCAAACTCAGCCTGTGTATTCGTGCATCTCAACACCATACAGAACAAATCCATAAACCCTTCCTTTGCCCTCAAATAGCCAATGTGATTCTTTGAGTTTTTGCCTATGTGCCATGTACACAAGCGATGACGTGCTTCCTCAAAAACTTCCGGAATGGCGCCTCGCCATTGATGTACTATGATCAGTCATCAAAGTAGCTGGCTCTTTACCTCCCATTGACTCCAAAAACTTAGAGAAAAGCCACACAAACAACGGGGCCTTTTCATTTAGCAAAAAACCAACCCCAAACATGATGTTTTGGTAGTGATGGTTCATTCCCGTAAAAGGCGCACACACAAGTTTGTACCTCATTGTCCTATAGGTTGTGTCGTGCACCACCAAATCCCCAAACACCTCATAATCATGTTTCATCTTAGCATCTCTCCAGAAAATGACACTTAACCAACAAGAGTCATCATGCAAGAAATCAAAGAAAAAGTTAGGCTCATTTGCTTTCCTCTTCCTTAGAATATCAAGCAACTTATTCGCATCACCACCCTCCCACCTCGCACGTTCAAGTGCAGCCACCTTATTTTTCGCATCCGTGATGGTGTAATTAAGGTTGGGAGAACCATCCCCTTGCTTATGCAGCATTTTATACCCGTGTGTAAGGCTAATTTCGTGCTCCTTCATCCTAGCTAGAAGCGCTACATCATTATCAGGCATCTGCCTATGCGACCGATCCAAGTGACGCTGATTGTCAGGTATCATTTCGTCTTTATGATCAACTTTGTGCACAACCACCTTCAAAATACCTTCCGCATCAAGCTTAATCTGCAGCATTGCATCACATCCGGTACGAGTAATAATCCTGTTTCGAAGCCCTTTCCCTCTACTCTTCGTACCCCCTTGTTTATTGCAAGCAAACTGTTTCAGATTCAAGGCACCACATGCCCTGTATTCGACCTAAAGCGCTTATTACCGAAACCAAGTCTTCTAGCATACGACGCATAACACATATACGCCTCATCAACTGATTTGAACTCACGACTAAGAAGATCTACATCTACAAAGACAAAAAAAAAAATAAAAAAAATCATCCACAAATAATCCATGAAAAATGAAAGTCTGATATATTTCATGTAAAAATATGGAATGCTCATTTCGTGAAACTACAATGCTCATGTCAGTAACAACAATACTCATTACAGTAACCATAAATCATTAAAACTGTACTTCTCCATAATTGTAGTTCACCTAAAACCCAATTTATTCATCTCATAGAACTACAATACTCATTGCAGTAAACAAAATTTATCAAAAGTAGTTCTGCATGAACTACAGTTCATCTAAAACTCAAAATGTTCATCTCACGAAACTACAATGCTCATAGAAGACAAAAAAAAAAATAAAATCAAAACATTCTGAATATTGAAATTCATCCAGTTATAAAGAAATTATGATTCACTTTCAACAGAAACGACTTCATCAAATTCTTCCGCAACAACGATGCGTTCATTGTCTGATTCTTCACTTGAGTAAGGGACTATGGCACCAGAATCGGGAACAACAGACATTCCTTCCGAACAACTCATCTACCAGACGAAAACAAATAAAAAAAACGCAATGAATCTTGTGAAACAATTTAAACGCTATTGCCGGTGAGATTGAAATTTATACTACACAGCCGATAAGATTCTGATTAAATCAAAGACATCCAGCAAATGAAGAGTTACTTTAAAATCACTGACAGGAATTGACGACGAAGGAAAGATTGCGGTTAAAAATTAGTAGAAATTTGTCGCTGCAAATCAAGAATTGAGACGGATGATCGCCAGTGATCGTTCAATTGCAAAATTAGGTCGTAAAAAAGAAGAAAAAGAGGGGGAAAAAAATCAGGTGCGCGTAAGAAACCCTCTATTTTTTAAAATCTGGGGACGTGGTTTTTTAACTCTGGCTTACACGTGCCCATCCCGGTGCCCCATAGAATTTGGGGTGTGACTGTAATGAACTAAAGGAATCAGCATAGAGATGAAGGTTGCTGATCGTTGGCAACAATTGCAGGGCCCGACAGTGGAGAATTTGGGGGACTTTGCAGGGCGCGTAAGGGGTTATTTTGGGGGCGCGTGTGGCGCGTAGCGGACTGGGAGAGGGCCAGCTATGTTAATTTTTTTTTTTCCTTCTAATTTACTTCATGTTATCAGTCTGTCCTAAACTAAATGTCAGAACGATTATAAAAAGACTAATACATTACAGTTTTGTCATTCAAATTAAAACTATTCGCTATCATCTTTGATTTGAACAATCTATCTTAATCATAATTGCATTTTGTACTCTGCAAAACACTGAAATCAGATGGTTTTCCAGCAGAAAACGTGTATATACATTTCTGACAACAACGTTAGTGATGAAGTGATTGAAAGTTTGAAACAATTTCAACTGAGTGTAAGGCCAAAAGAGAAGGCAATTCCAGCCATATTGGCACCTTTCATCTTGCAGTCTGGGATTGGAACCCAATTCCAGGTCTTGCATTCCAAATCATAACACAACCAAATGATGTCCCAAACACCTTCCAAATTGGACATCAAAGCTGCCCTAACCACTCCAAATCTTTGCTCCATACACCCCATCATAGCACCATAAGGCTTCCTAATCTTCTCAACAAGCCCTATTGGAACCTTCGAAACCAATTCCCATTGATGATTTCCTTCTCCTCTTGAGCTCAATCCCCAAAGCTCAATCCCAATCAGCATCCTGATCAGCCTCCTGTTGGGGTTCAGGACGTCACAAGACTTGACGATCATCACACTCCCATCGCCGTACACGTGTAGGCGGTCGATCGCGTTCCCCCAGCTGAATCCAACGGCTAGCGGGGCGCCACGATCGTTGTCGTCGCTACCTAATCCAGCGAATCTCGGCCGTAGAACAACAGGGGTGGCGTAATCAGTCCCTTTAGCAATAACCACACTCCCACTCCTCCCATTATATGCACTTAGAAAAATAGTCTTTTTGTGGCTGGATGATTCTACTCTCCTTATACCACCGCTGCCGCCGCCGCCGCCGTCGCTTTCTTCCACCTCGGTGGAGGTCCACAAATCAGTTTCAGAATCGTACTCGAATAAAACGGACTGATTCCCAATCATTTCCGCGAATAGAAACCGAAAATGATCGGAGTTGTGGGCACAGGAGATCAATTTCATCCCCGATCGCCGCCACGACGACGTCCCCCGGGGACCCAACGGGCTAGGAGGGATTTTCCTAACGGTTCTGGACATGGGATTGACGGAAATAACCTCCCGACTGTTGTTCAGGGCGAAAAGGAAGAAATTGCCGGACGCCGTTAACAGGTACAGGTCTTCCCCCGGCGGAACTACCGGTTTTAACATGTCAGCTATCACGATTTTGAACCACCGGTTCACGGAACAATCGGTGTAGCCGTGGAGCATGGAATCACGGTGCCATCGTTTCTTGTAGACAAACAGCCAGGTGGAGGAGCGGGATTGGTGGTTATAGTCACGGACAAAGTCCTGGTCGGCGATCATGTACGAAATGGACTTGTTGACCGATTTTAACCGGACAACCTCGGGTAAAGCTAACCGGAGGATTATGTACTGTATGAGTTCCGAAGGCAGGAGGAAGAAACCGACCGCATTTGTGGTGAAATTCCGGTGACTTTCCATAAAAAAAAAGTTTAAGGATTACTTTTTTTTGTCTTCCTACCCTGTTGTTTATCAGTGGGGGCTGGTGGGATGATGATGATGATTGATTGTGTTGTGCTTTTGCTAGGCTACATATCATAGATGATATGCTTTCATTTATACTGTGAATCGGAGAGGGTCAACTTGGATTTGGCGAATTGTTTAAGTAAACTTGTTTTGTTGTTTGGGGTTTTAATCGAAAGCATAATGCGATAGATTAAGAGGGAAATTAACGTCATCAAAAGGGGGAAAGAAGACAAATTAGGCCTACAAGGGCATCTATGTCGATTTTATAGAAGTCTGAGTAGGAAAAAATTGGATGGCATGCGAGCCTAACAATGATGATGACCTAGACACTCAAAAAACTTTTTTTTTTTTGCTTGGTTGAGGTTGATAATTAATGTTATAGTATTATAAAAAACAGTGAGGGGGGATTATAAAAATAAAGGTGAAATTCAAGAGCAGTTATTACTTATTTGTGCGTGTATCTTGAATATGTATCTTTAAATATATCAGCACAGTTGGGTGGGCTGGGGATCATTCATGGTGGAGGTACTACTACTTCTATGGTGTGGATAGGGGCTTTCTTTCTTTTTTTTTAAGGTGACTTTTCTTGTGTAGTGGATAATGGAGAGCCATCAATTAAAAAAATCTGAAAGGGAACTCAGGTTACATTTGATGCAGGGCAGAAAAGAACGTCATTTTGTGATCAGAAGTCAGGCTTGAGTTAAACCGCCTACTAAAAAATGGGAGAGGCCAATTCCTAATTTGCTACTGACGAATTAAATCCAACCCCAAATAACCATAAGACGAACTTCAAAGATTTTGGTATTACTCCTGTCCCTGATTTGCACAGAAATTGAACCTAATACGTGAAACTCTATATTTGACATGATAACTTCTTCGATCACAAATTCTAGATTTACAAAACCAAAAATGGGGGAAGCAAGGGTCATGCCTGCACGAGTTCATTGATGGACTAATATAATAAGTTATTCACTTGTCCTCATAGAATGGAATGGCCTAATTGATGCATGCTTCAGCAACTACTTACACCAAATGTACCTATTCCAAGCTTTCTAAAGGATAGAATCTGTTCCTATATTAAAATAAAATGACGTGAGCATCTGCTTGGGTTCTTTATGGCTTCTTTTGCTCTCTATTTGTTCGAATTATGCAGCAGGAGTTACTAGAGAAGAAACAAAGAACCTGGTTCCATAGCTAGGTTATATCAAATTTACTCACCAACAATCATAGCGGACTTAGTAGTAATAACTGTAATCCTAGAACGAGGAGCAAGTAGCAAAGATTACTCCACGGTGCAAGCAAAGAAGCACAACTCCCAACTATAGCACCTGGATTTCATAACCAAGTCAAGAGAACCGGTTGACAATGCAATATCTAGAAGCTCTTATCTCAGAAATCATTCTCAATTAGACTGTATAACTTAACCTGACATCAGAGTCACAAAAGGCTATAGATCAAAAGCAATTGATTCAATGGTAGTTTGATTTACTTGTTTGGACATCCTAAAGCAACACCTACTAGTAACCTCAACTGATCAGCCCCCATTTTTCACAAAAGATGTCTATTCAGGTCAAATCAATTGAATCACTGACTTGCGAGTTCAGCATTAAATTAGAAGTTAACAGGCACAATTCAAAGAAATTCAAGAAAATGCCCCGTATTTCAGGACATCAATCTTAAACTTTACTAATCAACCTACATATTCCAAGAAAGGAGGAACCATATGAACTACTGTCCTGTATCACAACACCACAAGGACAATCAGCCGAAAAACACGATTGTAGGCTTTGTAGCCAAGGTCACTGCATCAACTTGTCAGTGATTCTAAAGGTCTAGCACATAAAAGTTTCACAACAAAGAAAGGAAGTTCTGTCAGCAAAAAAGGCATTGGCCATAGCATGGAATTAACCAGCAACACCAATTTAAGAACCTCAGGAAACAAGTACAAGAAGATATCATGCCAGACACAAGATGATTCTATTCATTTGCAAAAACTGAATTAAAAATGTATATCCTATTAATGACTAAAATATAATGGCATTAGCAGATATCCAACAAATTAGATATATTCAAGCTATCTGGGAATGAGTTAGGCACAATTTAACAGAAAATGGGAGAGACCAATTCCTAATTGCTACAGACAAATTAAGATTAACCCCAAATAACTATAAAAGGAACTTCAAAGATTTTGGTATTACTCCCTCCGTCCCGAAATAATATTAGGATATACCGAACAATCATTTAGGGCCAGATGATTTTAGCATGTGCCTAATTTACACATAAACTGAACTTAAGACTTGAAACTCCATATTTCAAATGATAACTTTGGCGATCAGTAATTCTTCAATCACAAATTCTAGATTTACAAAACCAAAAAATGGGAGAAGCAAGGGTCATGCCTGCATGAGTTCATCGATGGACTAATAAAATAAGTTTTGTCCTTATATAGAATGGAAAGGCCTAATTTATCCATGTTTCAGCAACTACTTGCACCAAATGTACCTATTCCAAGCTTTCTAAAAGAAAGAATCTGGTGCTATTTGGTGCTATATTAAAATATAATAACATGAACACCAATTTGGATTATTTTTAGCTTCTTTTGCAAACAAAGGCTCTCTATTTTGTTCTAATTATGCAGCAGGAATTGTTGAAGTCTTGAAGAAGGAGTAAGGAACTCGGTTAAATAGCTAGGTTATACAAAATTCACTCCAGAACAATCATAGCGACTTAGAAGTAAATAGCTTTGATATTTGAACGACAAGTAGCAAAGACTCAGAATACCAAAGAACTCAGAAGCAAAAAGCAAGGCCAAATATAGCACCCGAATTTCATGATCAAGTCAAGCATGATTTAGAATCTCCTGTCTATGAAACCATTCTCGACTTGACCGTATAACAAAAACCTGACATCAGATTCGCAAAATGCTATATGTCAAAAGAAATTGTTATAATGATAGTTTAATGTACTTGTTTAGACATCCTAAAGCAACACTAATACAAGTAACAGGATGAATTTTCTTTTCAGAGAAGATGTCAATTTAGGTTAAACCAATTGCACCACTGACTCGAGAGTTCAGCATTAAATTTAGAACTTAACAGTTACAACTCAAAGAAATTCAAGAAAAAGCCCTGAATTTCAAGACTTCAAATTTGAACTTGACTAATCAACCTATATATTTCAATACAAGAAGGAACCATAGCAAAATCTACTGCCCCATATCACAACACCACAGAAGGACAATCAGCCTGAAAACACGATTGTAGGCTTTGTAACCAAGGTCACTGCACCAACTTGCAAAGAAATTCTAGAAAATGCCCTGAATTTCAAAACATCAGGCTTGAACTTCACTAATCAACCTTTATATTTCAATACAAGCAGGAACCATAGCATAAACTACTGCCCCATATCACAGCACCACAGAAGGACAATCAGCCTGAAAACACAATTGTAGGCTTTGTATCCAAGGTCACTGCACAACTTGTAAGTGATTCTAACAGTCTAGCACATAAAAGTTAGAAAGGAATTTCTGTCAGCAAAAGAAGGCATTGTGCATATCATGGAATCCAGTAACATCAATTTGAGGACCTTGGGAAACAAGTACAAGAAGATATCATGCCAGCACAAGATAATTCTATTCATTTGCAAAAACTGTATTAAAAATATATATTCTATTAATGACTAAAATATAATAGCATTAGCACATATCCAACAAATTAGATATATTCAAGCCATCAAGGAATGAGTGGGGCACAATTTAACTTGCAGGAAAAACTGAGGAAAAAATCACAACACCAGAATTTTACTGAGTACCCTTTTCTACATCATCAGTGAGACGATCATCATTATTCTTGCGTTCCAACTGCAGTTGAGCAGGAGCATTGCTTACTCCAGTAACAGATTGCTGGTACATAACACCACCAAAAATTGTCAACAGTAAGCAGACCAAACCAGTTGGACTGGCATGCTTATCCCAGATCACCACATTGATAGCCACAGTCAGAAACTTATTCACTACACCAGTCACAGTGAATGCAGTAGCAGATATTGCCTTTCTAGCCGCAAAACCAAAGAAACTAATAAGCAATCCAAACAAACAAGACAAAGACACTGCCAGAAACGCAACAAGATCAAACTCTCTGTTTGCTCCCACGGCACGGAATACATCAGCATACTCTCTAGTCACAATCCAAAACACAGGAGCCATCATCAACGACAACAAATTGTTGTACAACACGAAACCCCATGTATTCAATCCGAGATTCGTGACCATGTGCTTAATGTATACCATCTCAGTGGTGATAGTCACCAAATAAGCAAAAGCCCATGAATACGCAGTCAATGTAAATCCAGAATCAGTAGCAACATACCCAATGGCACCACCCAAAATGACCACCAACGATAAAAATGTCCACTTGGATGGCAAAGGTTGCTTCCTAAATACAGTATCAGCAAGAGCCACCAGAAGGGGTGTACAAGATCTGAACACTATGAAAGTATCCACATTGGCATGGCGTAAGAGATTGGTGTTAGTGAATATTGCCAAATAAAAAACAAAAGCTGCAGGCAGGAATTTCTTGGCCGTGTCCCATGTAAAGGCATCATGATGCAACAAACCCAATTTGCCCAGAACCCAAACCCCAAGAGCTGAAGTCAAGTACTGCAAAGCAGTGAGGAGACCAGGGTAATTAAATTTGGTAATGGCGAACTTGTTTATCACAGCGAGCAGACTAGAGCACACAGCATAACCCAACACAAGACTGCTGGTAGCATAGACTCGCCTTGATTCAATACTAACTGGAGCCATTGTTCTAAAAAATATCTATATCTTTTTTCTTTTTCCTACTGGGTGAAAGATCAGGGAAACTGCTACGGAAGGTTCGATTTAGAGAAAAAGGGGACAATTTGAGTTAAGGTTAAGCTTCATGGCGAACAAATACCACAAAACTGCTCGATCTGACCAATGTAGGCAAAAACAAACCAGGAAAAAACAGAGTATTTCGACAAATGGAAACCGAAAATATAAGCCAATCTTAGAAAGGGAGAAGATAGGGGAAAACTGCTGAATCTCGGAGGTAATCTGATTTCACCAAAGAGATTCAGTCTGCAGACGTGTTCATACGCAGATTGAACAAATTAAGCCAATCAAAATCATAAAAGAGGAAGGCAGACAATTAAAGGGGTTAAGGTAAAATCTGGGAGTGGAGTGAAATTGGCATTTAACAGCCGAATATTATCTTCTATATAAATAAGGACCGGAAAAAAGAAATATATGAAGGCTAAATTGAATGCCGACAGAGATAATTGCGGTCAATATAGATCAAATAAAGATAATAAGAAAAGGAAGAAAGTTAATCAGAAAAAGGAAAGGAGAGATTAACTCACAAGTGATACAGTTTTGAATGAATGGAGAAAGAGAAAAAAAAATCCCAAAAATAATCAGTGGAAGTGAGCGGAGGAGAGTGGGTGGCAGACAGGAGGAGGAGGAGGAGTACGGTCGGAAGTAGTAAATGAGGTTTGCTGCGTGAATCAGGGGTTAGAAGTTGGGAACGCTGTCGTTTTTTTCTCGGGTTTGATGTTTTCTGATTGGGTAGATTACTGACCACTTACGCCAAGAAATGGAAATGGTCTTCGGCGGAATTGCTTTGTTAAACGGTAAAACTGTCATGTCTAATAAATTAGTCAATTGCAAATACTACATTAACTTAACTAATGTACTATTGAACACTTGGCAAACTTTAAATAGACTTGAATTCATTAGGGTTTGGCAAGCTATGCTAGGCGGATTATCTATCAGTCACAACGTTGTAGTCTCCCTATATATTACTACCTCCATTTCTTTCTATAAGATGTCAATATCTAATTCTATGTATACATATCAACAAAACTAATAAAATTTAAAATTTTTTATCTCAATGCAAATTTCTCAAAGTATCCCCAATAACATTAATGAAGCGGTTGAATTAATATTTGAATTGGTCAGTTGTAATGTCACAAAAAAGAAAAAAGAAAATCATTAAATGATTTTTTCGAAATCCAAAACTTCTTGTAACAAAGAATTAAAAAAAAAAAAATGTCTAAAAGCTCTAATCAATAAAAGAATGGAAATAGTTTATCACAAGTAAAATTGCCGTGTATAAATTAGTCAATTACTACATTAAATTGATTAACTACTTCCATTCCAATGTAGTATTAGCGTTTGGCAACCAGAGGTAGACATGAATGTGGTTTGGAAATATCGGCTAGGCAGATTATTACTCAAAATGTTGTAATCTCAGGTCATAGGCCTCCTCTCCCTCTCTCCCGCTTTCTAATGTGACAAGTGACAACAACTTGAAAACTCAAGTACTCCTACATTATACAAAAATAAAACTAACTACGTTCCCTAAAAAATTCAAAAATTATTCACTCAATATTGAAATTTGTGTTAATTAGGAAAATTCTAGGTCCCGTTGGCAATTTTGAGAGTATGGTCCCATTATGATTTAACCAATGATAAATTGACACTTCAACACAACATATTAAGTTCACCAAATTTTTAAAATTTTTTGTAATTTGCTAAACATGTGTACTTACCATAAAAATAGATAAACTTATAAAAAAAAATTTAAAAAAATCACCATCAATTAACAAAAAATTCTAGGGTCCCGTTAGCCATTTTGAGGGTATGGTCCCGTTATATTTAACCAATAATAAAGTGATACAATAAGTAACCTTACCAAAATCTAAAAAAAAATGAACAATTTAGGAAAATTTAACATTTAATATAAAAATCACAATCAATTAATTATCAAGTTTCCTTATTTTATTTTTTACATTGCACAAATTTTTAAATGTGATTGCTTATTTGTTTATGTAACATCACATCTATTTTAATACATCAAAATTGCATCATTATTTGTATATGCATTTATGTTTCCTTAAAATAATACTCCATTTCAAAATGTAAGTCACTTTAGACTTTGGACGTAAACTAAGGAGAAAATCATTCAACTATTAATTTATGTGTTAAATATTTGTTTGACCCCTCATTAATTACATTGAAATTATAAACAAGACTAAATGAATATATATTGACATCATTTATTGAGGGTAAAGTTGGAAAGATAATCATTAATTTACCTATAATTTGTAAAACGACCTACATTTTGAAAAATCTCTCCAAACCTAAAACGACCCACAAATTGAAATGGAGGAAGTAGTAAAAATATACAAGCATTGCATCTTTGAGGATGCTATTGCACATTCAACAAAAACACATTGCACGATGACTTGCAAACTGTTGCAATTTACCAGCCTTATCATAATTATTGATTAACTTTCTTTATTTTATCTTTACATTGCATAAAAATTCATGTGTAATTGTACAAATACTTACATATGATTGCACATTAGTTTATAAAACATTGCACAATGATGCATAATTGCATCATCTCTCGTATATGTATTTTTTTTTTAAAACACAAAAAAGGCAAGATGACTTTCAGGTTCCAATTGATCCAAAAAAAAAAAAAAAAAAACTCAAGGGGTCTATTCAGGAGGTAAATTTTTGAATCAGCAAGTGCTAGATAGCACAATGCACCCAAGGGGTATACCAAGGGATGGACGTATATGCTACCTAGTTCCCTAGTTCCGCCCCACCCTGAATTTTATTGCACTTAAATAAATGTTGCTAGGGCAGAGTTTAGTCTAACCCTAAACAAAGTACAATAAAGGAAAGAGTCCTTTAAACTCATTTACGTAAATAAGGAAAGGACCTTTGGTCTAAAACCAATAGTCCTTTTACAAAGTTAGGAAGAGATATAAAAGACTCAAAGAGTTTAAATTCTTCCATTGCCGCCATTTTTGTCAAGAAATCTGCAACTGCATTCACTTCCCTGAAAATACGAGTAATAGAGTACCTTCTTTTTTCCAAAATGTTGTTCGTTTCAACCAGCTTCAGAAAATGTTTCCATGGAAACCCAATTTTCCTAACCAGAGCTTCAGTAAGAACCTTGTTATCAATCTGTACAACCACATTAGAAAGTTGAAGAAGCTCACATTTGTGCAACCTAAATAAAATACCACATACCTCTGATGTGAAACTATCTACATCGCCAAGATAGCCACATTCACCATATACAAAAACACCCCCTTCCCCTCTTATAACAAAACTATAACCAGCCCTATCTAGGTTTGAAGAACCATCACAATTTAGGACAAAAGAATTTGAACCCGGTGGCACCCACTTCACAACCCGCGACTTCTTTCTAGGCAACCGAGGTAATTGCAATCCAAAATGTGTAAAAATGAAGACATTATCAGCCTGACCACTAACCTTAAGATCATGTGCTATCAACAAATCTCGAGCACTAGACGAAATGGAATGAATAATGGCATTCAAAAGAAGCGTTGTACCTTCAAAGAAGAACTTGTTTCGCGCCTTTCAAACCTCCCAAGTAATGAATATAGGCAAAACCTTGTACAAAACCCCTTTTGCTACACCAAGGGAACCTTTCTTCCACCACTTCCTCAGCATACAAAGGAGACTTAAGGTACCCCTTATATTTATATTCATGATGAAAGAAAAATGTGACCAAATTGTTGTGGTAAATCCACAACTATAGAAGCAATGCCCCATACTCTCGGCATCTTGCTTGCAGAAACCACATATTGATGGATTTATTCCAATACCAAGGGTATTCAGAACTTCTGGAAAAGGGAGGAATCCGTTACACAACTTCCACAAGAAGAAGGAAATGCGAGAAAGTATCTTCCTATGCCAGATATTCCTTAGAAGAGGCTCAATACTGCAGCGACTTCTAAGAGCTTCATAAGCTGCCTTCACAGAAAACTCTCCTTGTGGATTGTTTTGCCAAACCAATAATCCTCCCCAGCCGAGAATTCAAGGTCAGCATTCTCTAAAGAAAAAAGAACCGACTGCTCAAGACAGCCCCGAAACTCATTCGAGAAAGCATCCCTTCTCACAAAAAATTCTCTAATTGTAAGATTAGGCAAAGGTGGTTGGCCAAGACAATGATTTCTCAATATACCACAATTTGACCGATTATCAAACCAAAAGGATTTGTCTCCACTTCTAATAATTACCTTACATAGAGGCGCCACCTTAACTTCAATCTTCATAATTCGCGATCATGAAGTCTTTTCCCTAGCCTAATCCAAATTCCTTTTTTATTCTTCATCTTCCACCAAAGTTTGGTCGTTAACGCTTCAATAACATCATGAAAACTCCTCAAACCTAGGCCATTTTCACAAACCGGGAAAGTAACCCTCCTCCAAGAGCGCCAATGCTTTTTTTGCTCACCATTTGCACCTCCCCAAAGGAATTTCTGACATCTTTTTTCTAAACCTTGAATTACCGTCTTGGGAGAGGGAATAGCTAAGAAGATATGTATTGGCATTGATGACAAAACATGCCTTATCAACATCAAATGACCTCCATAGCAATTTATTCTTCCAATTTAAGAGCTTAGCATCAAAAGCATCAAGAAGAAACTGAAATGTGGAGATTTTCTTCCTTGCATGAAACAACCGACAACCCAAGTACACAAAAGGGAATGTACCTTTTTGGATGCCCAATGTCCGCTTAATCATATCAAATCTTCTCGGATTGCATTTACCTGAAGTGACAAAAAATGTTTTTTTCTCGGCTAACTTTTTGGCCAGAAGCTAACTCATATTGCTCAAAAAAGGAATTAACTTTTTTTAGAGATCTTTTCAAACCCTTTGAGAAAATTATCAAGTCGTCGGCAAAGCATAAATGAGACACCGCCCTAGAACCCGCCAGAGTTCCATATGCAGCAATCTTCCCAACCTCCACTATTCAAACGCCTTGTCATCGCCTCTGAAACAAGAATAAACAAATGGGAGGATAAGGGATCCCCTTGTTTTATTCCTCTTGAAGCTTGGAAGAAACCAACCGGGATACCATTAACCAATACTGAGAACCAACTATTTTGCAGATTATTCAAAACTAATCCCACAAAGTGAGTTGGAAAGCCAAACTTAATCAACACAGCACGAAGAAAACTCCACTTAACCCAATCAAATGCCTTCATCATATCAACCTTTATCACCATATTATTCCCTTCAGCCTTGAGATCAATAAACTGGCATAAATCTTGAGCCAACAATACATTGTCAATAATGTCCCGGCCAGCTAGAAACGCCTATTGCTCTTCAGAGATTAATCTTGGCAATACATGCTTCAACCTCTCTATAAGAACCTTTGTAAAAATCTTATTCAAGAAATTACAAAGGCTAATTGGTCGAAAATCCGAGAAAGTGTTCACCACTGACTTCTTTGGAATAAGCGTAATCATTGTGCTTGCAATGGCTCGGGGTAAAGGCACACCAACCATAAGCTCTTGACACACTGCTAAAAGATCACTTACAATAATATGCCAACATCTTCTATAGAAAATACCACCAAAACCATCCACCCCTGGAGCACTATCTTCATTCAAATAAAAAATAGCCCCCTTTACCTCTTCAAGTAGCAACACCCGCAACAACATTTGATGATCATCTTCTTCTAAAATGCGGGGGATATGCTCTAAGAATCAATCCTGAGAAGTTTGATGAGTATCACCTCCTTCATCCATTAAAAGGTCAAGAAAAAATTCAGCCGCTTCCTTCTCTATATCCACCATTTCCGTTAACACATCACCCTCCCACGACTTGATTTTATGAATTCCTTGCCTTAAACGTCTCTCTTTGAGAGAAGCATGGGGAAAGGATGTATTTGCATCACCTTCCTTAATCCATTTTACCTTAACTTTCTACTTTAGAAAATCATCATGCTCCATAAGCTTATGCAACAATAGAGCCTTTGCATGCCGAAGGTTAACTCTATCACTATCAGCTTTGGTAATATCATATTGAATTTCCAGCATTTGAACCCTTTCTTCCGCCTTCTTAAGGTTCTCAAATACATCACCAAAAACAAGTTTATTCCATTCCTTGAGCATGTGTTTCAACCTGCGGAATTTCAGGGAGAATGGCATCATACCAAAACTCTCTATCGGTTGATCCCGATTTTCTTGCACAACTTGAAGAAAATCATTTCTTCGCAACCACATTTGTTGAAAGCGAAACAATTGCGGTTTGTTGTTCCCTTGCAATGCAAACGTGATCAACATAGGGCAATGATCAGAAGAGGTTCTATTAAGGTTTTCAATAGAGGTATTTGAAAAGAGCTCTTAAATTCTTCCGAAAACAGAACTCTATCTAACTTCTTACTCACCTATCTTGTCTATCTCGTACCGCCCCAAGTATATTCCTCTCCTATGGTATGAACTTCCAACAAGCCACAAGACTCAATGCATTCATTAAATTCCTCTATAGCATTATGATCTTGAACCGAAGTACCCGAATATTCCTCCAAATTTCGAATCACATTGAAATCACCACCTATAATCCAAGGTACAGTCGGATGATGCTGCCTAAAAGACACCAAATTTTCCCAAAGAGCACCATGATCAGTCCGTGTGTACTTTGCATAGACCGCTGAAAAGCAGTAGGAAGTGGTAGACAAAATATGCTTAACCTTGAAATGCAAGACCTGTTCACTTTCCTCCAACAAATCAACATCAAGATCTCTTTTACCAAAAGCACAAATTTTACTGTTACTTGAGGTATAGGCCACATCAAAATGCGAAAACCTCTTTATTTCATCAAGATTATTGACCCGAAGCATAGTTTCCAAAATAACAAGCAAAGAAATGTTATACATCCGAAGTAGAGACATTAATCGCCTTTGCGACTATTGACTCCTTATACCTCGAATATTCCAAAATAAATGATTAATCATTGGATAACAATATAGGAAAAGGAACCTAATTCAGCTGGGAAGATCGGGAAGAAGAGCCCCCTCCATCATGGCAGCTCTCTCGGCCTTTGATTTTTTACCCCGTTTCTTTGTAACAGTGGACTCATCAAGAATCTCACACATGATCACCGCTTCCTCCTTTTCACCGCTTCCTCCTTTTCACCAACAGAATTGTCATCAGTTAACAAACTCAGTTTCTTTGGATTTTCAAATAACACTAACACTTGATTAAGATCATCCGTTGTTCTGGTTGGTGACTCCTCCACATAAACCGTCTCCACATTGTCATCATCAGAACTAATTTCATCGTCAATCTCCAATATCGAGGCGAGAACAGAGAAACGATTCGAACCCGTCGAATTAGGGTTTCCAGTTGCTACATTCAAGGTTTCGGGTAGAGTCGCCGCAACTGCAGTCTTAGAAGAACCATCAGACTTCCCTTGTACTGTTGCTGGAACATCCACAGGGATGGCCTCTTTTTCACGCCGAGATAGCCCTAAAGTCAAAGCATCCGAATCTGTAACCCCCTTGAGCGACAGACCTTCCGCTGCCTTAGGGTTTTCCACAAGCTACGATTTTTCCATAGGAGGCACAACCTTCGATTTAGGGTTCCCCGTCGCACCCTGTGACTGCGTGTTTGGTTGCACGACTTGCGATGGAGTGTTAGAACGCAAAGCTCCACCTTGCGACTTCACGTCTCCTCCATTGTTCGCCAAGTTCCCTTTTGACTGAACTTGAGTCTTTTGAGCAGGAGCCTTGTTCTTCTTTTCCATCGGTTTCAGAATTCCGGCATGACACTCCTCCTTTCTATAGCCAATTTTGCTACAATTGGAGCAATAATCCGGCACATGTTCATAGGTAAACAACTGGTCGTTCTTCTTCCCCTTTTTTTCCTCAACTTTAACTGATTTTGGAAGCTCCTTTGTAAGATCAACCTCAACATAAAAATGAGCCACTGACGGCCTCGTCATGTTCAATGTCGGAGCATCCATTTTTAATGGCTTCCCAATCGTAGTTGCCATCAAAAAAATAACCTCCGGATTGAGAAATTCGATAGGTAGATCAAAGAGAGAGACCCAAATAGGCACAATAGGGGGATCATCCTCGAATCTAAAGCTCGATCTCCACTTACGAATTCACATTGAAAAGCCAGCTATATTCTAGAAAGTTCGAATCCAACTTCTCTAGTAGTTTTCTTCCTTCTTGAAGTGAATAAGAATATGTCTAGGGTTCATGAGGCTAAGAGTATAGCCTCTGCGAAATCCTAGTTTCTTGAACTCCTTATGAATATCGTTCATTTTCCGCTGGCCATAAGAAAATTTTCGAATCAAACTCAATTGGTGAGGGGCAACCAATTGATCATATTCTTCATCTTCATATTCAAGAACAGGAGACCCATTGATGAATCTCACCTCCTTAATGAGCGAGCCCTTGGACAAAGGGGCATCCAATTATTTTTGGAAAAAACTAGCAAATGTACGAGGAGGTCCAGTGGGGACCTCCCCGGCTTGATCACCGGTCATGAGACCGTGAGCAAGATTGAAAAAGTATTCCGGCATTAGAGAGTAGAGAGAGGCGAGAATAAAATATATATTGCACAATAATTGCACAATCAAAAAATATATATTGCACGTTCACTTGCAACAATTACACTATACAAAAAATTACCAGAACACCTAATTATTTTATTTTTTTATTGCACAAAAAGTCACGTGTGATTACACATATCCTCATACAATTGTAGTTTTATTGATACATTGTTACACATTATCTTATAAAATACTGCACGATCTCTTATGACAAGGCTCATGGGTGTGAATGAATGATAAGAGAAAAAAAAATAGGGGATTTACTATTTTTCTTAATGAAAAATTAGTTTTAGTTTCCTTACTCGCTTTCTAACCATGTCAATTTGGTTACAATATATTGCATACATCATAACAAAACACAGCACACTAGAGAATAAAAGGTTGTACATTGTTGAAAAAATCATTGCCGATACTTACAATATGTAAAACAAAAAATTATAATGTCTAGAGCGTGTTCTTGGCTAAATTGAATATAATAAACTTTTTTACTCTTAATTAAAATTGCTAGGTCTCTTTTTTTTTTTTGTCAAAATTGATAATAATATATGAAAGAAGATCAAAGAGTTACACTCATAAAGAATTAGCCTACTACAACCCAATATTGAGCTAAAAATAACTATTACTCAAATTATAATCAAGCATTTCAACAAGATAATTAGCCCTATAACAACTAATCCAGTCATTATACTCTGCAATTTTTGTTCACCTCCCGCCGATTTGATATAACCATTATCTTCTGTTTATCAATCCGACCTCCTATTTTCCAAAAAAAAAAATAAAAAATGTCTTGCCTCCGGGGGGAGGGGGGGTTGGGGAAAAGTCAGTCTTGCTAGCGAGAGAGGAGAAGAAAGGGAAAAAAAAACATTAATTTACAAATGCCAATAAAAAAAAATTAAGGCAGAAAAAGAATTCCAATTAAATTCTATACCATAAATAGTTTTTGGGTTTAATAAGTTGCCAGCCAATTAGTTTGTTATTTTTTTATTTATTTAATGTAAATCTTTTGGTTTTGATTAATTTAAACTAATGTAACGCCTATTAATTAAATAACGGGATTATATTCTCAAAATTGTTAACGAGACTGTAGCTTTACCCTCAATTAATAATTAAGTTTCTTTATTTCATTTTTTCTATTGCACAAATACTTAAGTGTGATTGCACATTCTTATGTAATATTGCACCTATATTGATATATCATAATTGCATCATCATTTGTATTCGCATTTATGTTACTTAATATAATAACAAATATAAAGCAATTGCACCTTTTAGGATACTATTGCACATTCAACAAAAAAACATTGCAGGTTTACTTGCAAACAATTACAATTTATCAAATTTACCATATTATTAATTAACGTTCTTTATTTTTTCTTTACATTACACAAAAGGTAATGTAAAATTGCATAAATACTTACATATGATTAAAAATTAGTTTATATAACATTGCACATTGTCATACGTAATTGCATCATCTCTTATGTATGTATTTATTTTTTCGTATTAATATAATAGGTATACAAAAATTACAATTTCCAATCAATTACAATAAGTAAAACATGAAATTATAATGTTTAGAACGTGCTCTTGGCCAAATTGAATCTAAAAAATCTTTTTTACTCTTGATTAAAACTTTTAGGTCCTTTATCTCTTTTTTCTTTTGTCAAAATCAATAATAATATACTCCCTTCATCCCACAAAAATAGTCTATGCACATTGAGTTTTGAGTTTTGTACTATTTTTAGTACAAATTTGAAAACTCAATGTGGACTATTTTTGGGGACGGAGGTAATATTAAAGAAGATATAAGAGTTACAATATCAAGGAATTAATTAGTCTATAACAAATCTAAGATTGAGCTAAAAACAACTAAGTACTCAAACCATAATAATCAAGAATTTCAACAAGATAATTAGCTCTATATCAACTAATCCAGTCACCATACTCTGCAATTTTTGTTCACCCTCCATCGAATTATATATAACCATTATCTTCTATTTTATCAATCCTACCTCCCGTTTTTCCGCCATGGAAAGAGAAGAAGAAGAAAAAAAAAAAAAAAGGCCTAGCGAGAGAGGAGAAGAAAGGAAAAAAAAAACACTTAATTTCCAAGTCGCAAATTAAAAATAAAATTAAGGAAGAAGAAGACTCCCAAATAAATTCTATACCATAAATAGTTTTTGGGTTTTACAAGTCGTCAGTCAATTAGTTTTTATTATTTTATTCAATTAATGCAAATCCTATGATTTTGATTAATTTAGACTAATCTAATGATTATTAATTAAATAATGGAACCGTAGCCTCAAAATTGTTAACGGGATTGTAGTTTTACCCTAAAATAAGAAAAAATATGAAACTTCAATATGAACATTTTGTTAGACAGAAAGAGTAATAAAAAAGTACCAATCTTCAATTAAGCTCTTTTCATTTATTTTATAAAAAATTACTATAATTATTTTCATTGTTAAGGGGATGCTAAAGTAAATTGATAAGAAGATACAAGATTTTCCTGGGAAGGTCTCTCTATCTATGATGATATTTGTGATACAAGGTACTAATATTCCTCCAATTTTTATTATAAGATATTTTGATTTATCTTGTTCTAAATGAAAATAAAATTTTAAAAATATATTTTCACATTTATAATATTCTCTAATTATTAAAAAATTCCAAGTGCCTCTATCCTTAAAATCTCCCTACCCAAAGCGAAAAAACAGAGTCCAACTTAATTTATTCAAAAAAAAAAATCATAATTGTATTAAACAGATCCATGATTTAGCAGTTACCTATTTAAACGATTCTAACCCAAAAAAACTTCTCAAGTAAATCATAAAACATCTCCAAAATTTTCACCAACTTCTTTTATCCAAATCTTGATAACATCAACAATTGATATGATCGTGTCCTTGCAGCAAAAGCAACATCAACTCAAGTGCAAGCAAGTCAATGGGAATTTGAACAATACAACAACAGAAACATAGGGAAACATGAGATGATAGTGTAAAGCCCGTATTGACAAAAACAATGACTCTTTGTTGAAACCGTATTGGTTCCCGTAAATGACTGCATGTAAAGGTGGATTGTTACTTTCATGGAGTTTGATTTGAGGATACTGATTACCTTGTCAAGGCCACCAGTCATCTAGGCACCTTTTATTTATGTGAAGGTTATGTTTCACTTATTAAAGTTTCTGTAAGCGAAGGGAGTTTATTCTTTTAGTAAATTACATGTTATAGTGTAAAGCCCATATTCACGTACGAAGAAATAATTTTGCTGGGCGGAAGTTTTAGGATTAATATAGAATGGGGTTTGATGGGAGTTTCAAGATATGATTGCTTAATGATTATTTTTTCCTCATCAAAATTCAAAAATGGACAATATAAAGTTAAACACCGGGCAATTAAAAAGTTTATAAATAAATGATCAACTGAACTGTCTTTCAACAGAAAAAGCTTTCTAATGTTGCCATTCAAAAGTATCACAAATTGGTATGCAAATTAATAAATACTATCATAACAAAGATAGTACTCCCTCCGTCTCATAATTATTGTCCAGTTTGGATTTTCATTTTTAGTTCAGATTGTACTAAAAGTGAAATCTCAAAATGGACAATAATTTTGGGACAGAGGGAGTAATATATATTCTACCATTATCTTTTTTTGCCTAATACCAACCCGTGTCGCACTGGTCCATAACCTAGTCTATAATATCATAAGTACTAAGATTTTAAAAATGGATGTTTTAATCCACATGTCACCTTATTTGTCTACTTTCACATCATACTCCTTTTGCATTTTTGGTGGGTAGGAGAGATAATTACCAGCAAAGGCTGAGCGTGATTACTAGCGCTATCACTAACAAGAATTGTAATTGGTGAGTCCATATCCGTTATCTCCAGTGACCGGTCCATTACTCAGTCCATTACTCGATCCCAGCGTTAACCTTGTCTGGTATGGTGGCCTGTTATTACTAACACTAGTGGGAATCGGATGTGAGAGCTATCTATAAATAGGGACCGTTATTCCACAAAAGAGGTACGCAATCTTGACTATCAAATTAATATAGACGCAACCCTATTTTCTGACTTAAGCTTCGGAGTATCTACCCTCGGGAGACGCCCGAGGCTCTATTTTGCAGAAAACCCTAACCGGAGTTCCACTCTACACCGGCGGTACAATCCAGGTATCGTCAAGTGGCACGCCCGGTGGGACCCGAAAACTAGGGTTTGTGTCACCAAGCTTTTTCAAGCTTTTCGAAACCTTTCAATTCGCTTCCAGCGCTCCTAGAACAGAATCGGTGGAAGGAAAGATGGTGGTAGTTGACAGTCCCCAATCCAGTGCTGCATCAACAGGAAGACAGACAAGCCCTGAGGACGGTGAAACTCTGGCACACTTCCGGTGGAG